CTGTTCCGCCGGGGGTCCTGCCAGCTCTATGTTCTGTTCCGTTGGGGGTCCCGCCGACACCTGTCCCGCCGGGGGTCCTGCCAACTCTGTGTCCTGTCCTGTTGGAGGTCCCGACGACACCTGTTCCACCGGGGGTCCTGCCAACTCTGTGTCCTGTTCCGTTGGGGGTCCAGTCGACACCAGCCCTTGCTCCATCCGGGGTCCCATTGACACCAGCCTATGTCATGTTCAGGATCCCGTCTATGCCTGTCCCGTCGGCTCCGGTTCCTGTCCGGCCGATACTGGGTCCTGCCCGGCCTCCGGAGCTGTTCCGTCAGCGCCTTCCTGCCCGGCCTCCGGAGCTGTCCCGTCAGCGCCTTCCTGCTCGTCCTCCGGAGTTGTCCCGTCGCCGCCTTCTTGTTCGCCCTCGAGCCCGGCCCCCTGAGTGCCGCGGTCTTCGCCCTCGAGCCCAGCCCCCTGATTTCCCCAGCCGTGGCCTTCGCCCTCGAGCCCGGCCTCCTGACTCTTTGAGCCGCTGCCTTTGCTCTCATGCCCGGCCCCCTGAGTTCGCCCGCTGTGGTCTTCTCCCCTTTTTGAACTCTGCCTTGCCCCCGGGCCGTCCACCCGAGACCCCTTCCGGGTCCTCCGCTGTGCCCCTGGGTTGTCAGCCCAAACCCGTCCTCCAGACCCCCTCCACCCACCCTTTTGGCCCTAGTTATGTGTCCCTCCTCCGGTCCCCCTCCACCCACCCTGCTGGACTTTTTTGGGACGTCTGGGATCCGTCCCTTGAGGGGGGGGGTAATGTCACGATCTGTCTGTGTTGTGTTTTGTCTTGTCTTTTTCTGTCTTTGGTTTCCTGTTTTATTTTGAAAAGTGTTCACCCCCTGTCTTGCCTGTTGCTTTCTGTCTGTGTTTCCTCCTGCCTGATTGCCCGATTGTGTTCACCTGGTGCCCCTGTGTTTTCTCCTCCCTCCTCACCTGTGTCTTGTTTGTGTGATTAGTCTTGTGTGTATTTTAGTTCTGGTTTTTCTGTCTGTCATTGTTAGTTCCTTGTTTGTCTTTGACTGTGTCACGGGGTAGTGTTCTGTTTTCTACTTTGTTACCTTGGATTAAAGGAATTATCTTGGAAATCTGCATTTGGGTCCTGCCTGCTTCACTCAACCCTGACAGTTAATGCATTCCTCAGAGTTTTTGCATGTTCAATTTCAAGTCCATAACATGAATGTTTCAGTGCAAGTTATATATGACAGGCTGAACACCTATGAACTCCTCTTATTTGCTCAAATTCCATCAGTAATGTGTTTTAACGTCAGAATACTATGAATTGTGGGTACCTCCCTCAGTCAAAAGGCTGTGTGAGTGAGTGAGGACATTGAGAATGGGCCAATGTCCATTCAAGTGTCTAAATTGCAAGGACGTACACTACCATTCCCAAGTTGGACTCATAGGACTTATACGGTCGTGACTCGTTGTCTTTAAGAGTCACCGACATTAGGCTGGGGCTTTCCCTTGACTTTGTTTGTTTCACTTTCACATCCCATTTCTTTGGAAAGGCTGATATAGAAAAGGGAACACATGTTGAAACTGCATGACATCAGAATATGACTCCATAAATATAGAACTGGACTTTAATCAAAGTTATGCTGCAATATGTCTGTACTGAGGACTTTTCTTTTTCCTAATGTTATGTGCTGTTGAATCAGATGCACACTTCCTTAAAAAGGCCAATGTTTCCAGTTTCCTTTGAAAGTACTCTTATATTTCCAAAATGAAAATAAATATTAATGCTGTCCTCGCAAAAGAAAGAACCAGTAAGATTGGACTCGTTTTGTAGAAAAAGTGAAAAGAAATGTGCACATATGTAAACATGAATACGTTTATAAGCAATCAAACACACATTACATTACTGCATCATTTTACAAATGTACTTATCAGAAAACCTTTCTAAGACTGACTAGCTTCACTCTTTGTGGCATACAAACATCCAAAATGAAATTAGGAGTTACTGGCACATGAAATCAAGTGAAACAGGAGTACGATAAATATGGTTGACCACAAAACATTGGGAAATATAGGACATCCATTTAACACGCATAGTGTTTAACAAGGCTGGATCGCCAACTGGTCAAAGTGTGGAACTGCTCCAGGACCTCAAACCCTCTCGGGCCCCTAAAACCCCTAGTTTGGTTGATTGAATAAATTGAGCCTTTTGAATATGCACCAACTACCACCTGACATGGGCCAACAAGAAAAATGGGCACAGGTGAGACTGATCAGGTTGATGACACGAGAGGTGAGTTGAGTCACACAATAAAACGGTAAATACAAAATGTTAACTTGTCTTATGAAAGTAATCATTCCCACATCCATACTCTGTAGTGGCTCCCTCACCTCAGGGGGAATGTGCTGGTCTTCATACAGCTTTGTGAGTTAGTGAGAGAAATATGATGGGTTTCGTACATCCTTAGTTTGTGCAGTGTTTCTTCATGTGCTTCAGGCGTTGTGGAGGTTTACTGTAATAAGACTATCTGACATGAACCTGGCTACTTTCAGTGTTACAGGAAAGCCTATACAGGCCTGCGGCATGGAGAATAGCAGTTGTTCTGCTGGTATTGTAACAATCAGAGGCGTTGAGAAATATCTGCGTGCACAGCAGCATCACCATCAGGTCCATCATGTCGGTTAAATGCTGCCCGTTTTTCCTACGTAGAGTGCTAACTGTAGTGATTGGCACGGCTGTAGACATAGCACCTCACACTTACATCAACACTGCACTCTCTCTCCTGCTAAACACCATTAACAACCAACAGCCACTCACCCCGAAGGCGTTTATATTGTTGCAGGAGATGGACAAGGCAAATCTAAAACATGTTCCAAGAGTAATGTCTTGATCATGTGTACTCCAACATTAAGCATGCATACAGAGCCATACCTCTCCCCCACCTAGGTCTGATCATCTCTCCCTGCTGCTTACTCAGGCATACACCCCCTCAGGCGAAGAACATATCCTACCATAAAGACTGTAACAACCTGGCCTGAGGATGCACTTATTCACTTTTTGCAATTTGTTATTCTTTTCTAAATAACACAGTTATTTACTCAACAATAACACACAATTATCCTTGTTTTTATTTAGTTGTTTAATTCTATAACATCAGGAACTGAATTTCAAAATAAAGTCACCGGAAACAGACGTGCGATACACACCCACTGAACTGATTACCCAAGATCCTCAGCTATGGTTGAAGCTCGGTGATTGGATGTTTTAGCCGCAATGCACGTTGGGATATGGTGTTTATGCGATATGAAATCCGAAAAAATTTTTTTTTAAAGAAAATAATACTTTATTCCGAGTGCTTGCTTTTCTCTTTGGAAGTCATCACATAACGGCATTGTAATACACGGTTTGGCTGCATTAAATATTACTGCCGTAGTTATTTATTCATAGAGCCCTTTGGACAAACTGGAAGAACTGCCACCGAAACTGAATATGTGACGTGGATCATAAATATATCAGCAATTAAACAACATCTTCAATTTCTCTTCACACAATACGTCTCCTTGCAGTATCAATAGTAATTCGGCTGACTTTTATATTTGATCCAATTGGTAGATAGGTAGCGGTGCACAGCTGATTTTTATATGTTATATTTGATGAAAAAAATATTAAGAGTACATACTTTCATAGGGGGAAAGTAGAAGGTCAATGATAGAAATATAGAATATAAAATATCAAGAAGATACTGTAAGTGATCTCTACAATAAAACAGTTTAGTGCCGGATGTACAAAGATATTAATAGGAGGATGTGCAAAACAAAAACCGCTGTATGCAATATAGGCGTAGTTCTGTTAAGATAAGATAATAGGATGTACTTTGTTGATCCAAAATCGGGAAATTGTTTTGTTATGAAATCTAAATAAAAAAAAATAAAAAATGGGGACTCAAGTCTGTCACTGGCAGTGGGGCTGAACTGCTTTTTTGCTCGCTTCGAGACACCACAGCAGCAATCAGCCACACCACCCCAGCCCCCACCAGCCTCTAGCACCCCCTCGCTCACTGTAAGAGCATGATGTGAGACGGGTGCTCAGAGCAGTGAACCCAAGGCTGCTGGTCCTGATGGAGCGTACTCCATCAGGAGGAAGGTGCTCAGAGTGTGTGCCAACCAGCTCTCACAGGTCTTCACCAGCATTTTTAATCTCTTCCTGAAACACGCTTTCATCCCACCTCGCCTGAAACAGCCACTATCATTCCTGTTCCAAAGAAAGCAGACGGCCTTAATGACTGCCGTCCTGTTGCACCAGTGATTATGAAGTTCAAGGTTCAAGGTTCAAGGTTCAAGGTTCTTTATTGTCAATCTGACATAGCTACAGAGTAATTATGCAGTTGAAAATCTTATGTCACAGGCTTCTCCAACAATGCAACATAATAACATAACATAATAACAATAAGAGCAAGAGCAATACAAAAATAATAATAGTTATAAAAGTGAAATAAAGTTATGATGTGGAATAGTGCAGTGCTTTGAGAGGCTGGTGCTACATCACATTAAGGCCTGCCTCCTTCCCACCTTCAACCCACACCCGTTTGCCAACAGAGCAAACTGATCCACTGAAGACACCATACACCCATACCCTTACGACAGCAGTCCAGCCCACCCGAAAACATAATTGTCAAGTTTTCCGACGACACCACTGTGGTGGGTCTCATCTCAGGAGGAGATGAGTCGGCCTACAGGAGTGAGGTCCTGAGGCTCAGCGTGGTGTTCAGGGAGCAACCTGACCCAAAATGATTTATTTTGGTTTACCACGAAAACCAAATAAATCATTGTGGACTTCAGGAGGAACAGCACCGACCTCGCTCCCCCTGTGTGGAGAGTCATAAGCCAAACATGTTCTCTCTCTCTGATTCTGGGAAACAGGCTACTTGGAGGAAAAAGGAAGGGACAAAGAAAGTGAAAGTAATCTCGGATGTCAAACTATTGTGCCATGACATCCGAGATTACTTTCACTTTCTACCAGTGTATAAAAGGCAGTTGTTCTTGCGCTGTACTGCATCAGGAGTCTCCACTGAAGGAAGAGCTTAACCTCTGTACAGCCATCCACCATGCATTCAGCGCTCCCTGCCTTGCTCTCCTGCCTGCTGGTCCTCTATGCACAAGGTACTGTAAGAAGATCCATGTTCTGTAAATATCGTGTCATGTTATGCAGTTTACAGCCCACTTTAGTACAGGAGCTGAACTGTTTTAACACGCTCATCCAGCTTGTAACTGTATATTTATGTGGGGTTATTTCACTCTAAGTGTGGCCTCTTTTATTTCTCAAAATGTTAGCTAAACATAAATGTACCAGTTTGTTTAAAGTTGGGTTTGGGGTTACATAGTTGCAACACAAATAAAGGAAACTTTGGGAATGTCTGTGTTATTTCAAAAATGTCAATGTTTATTAATGTGGAACAAAAGAACAGGGGACGGATGATTCAAACTAATGAAGTTATATTATAATTATTACAGATAAAAACATTTTTTATTGTGCGCAGGAGATTCAATAGTTTTTCTCAAAGTTAGAATTATTTTATTGCATTTATGTATATGATATTTAACGCATTATTTCATTTTATTTATAGGAAACAAATGTTTGTCTTTCGATCTTTGAACATTATGGTAACCAAATGGCACAATATAGTATTATTTAAAAAGAATCATTAGATGTTCCTGGCTGAGTCTGCTGACTGACTGAAGAGATGACATTATTATGACTTTGTCTGACCAGTGCAGTTAACATACCCTTTCATTCTGTGCCTACAGGGGCAATTGTTTGTTCAGTATCCCCTGCACCACATGATAATAAATGATCTTTTCTTCCCACAGGGCATCCAGCAAACAGATCCAATACGTGCAAGTGTTTTAAGTTTGCCGGCAAGATCAACAAACAGCAAATCCAGGGAGAGCCAGTCATACATGAGCCCAGTAACTTCTGTCCACGCACAGAGATTATGTGAGTAATCAACTGAATAAAGCCACATATACATTGCATTCCCTTGTTCTAACACGGCTCTTCTCTCTCCCAGTATTTTGATAGCAAATAAGCATAAATGTGTTAATCCACAATCACCACTTGGAAAGCTAATTCTGAAAAACAAAAACAGGTAAGATCAGTCGGCCTGCTCTAACTTCAGAAAATCATAACTAATCACTTACTAATAGTGTCGTATGTTTATTCAGGCATGGGAAGAATCGAGCTGAAAGCACGACAGCTTCCAGTCACACATCATGGAGCTCAGCGGGACTCTGAGACTCTGCACAGAAGATCACAGAAACACTGTTGCTTTAATAGAAGGAGTTGTTCATGGTCATTGTCTTTGTCATGTAAATACAGTTGGTGTGCAGAAATGATTACACTATCAACGTCTTCTGTTTCTGCCATTTTAACTTTCTTTTTAAATGAAAGAAACACACCTGATTGGACTGAGTCTGTTTCATTCTGCCTCATGTTTGTTAACACAACACAGAGACTTCCACCAGGCAACTAATAGTCTTAGAGCTGTCCAGAAGTATGTGGACACCCATCTGTCATAGTTCAACATAACTTTAGTTACAGCTTTATGTCAGATATATTTCATCAACTGTCATATTCTGCCCTCCTCAGATCACACGTTCAGAATAAGCTGAAGGTTTTGAATCGTGTGCAAAATAAATACAGACCATAGTACTTCCAAAACGTGTCGCTCATTGTTTCTGATACAGCACATAGCTTGACATGTTCTTTATTCAGTGTTTACAGAGCCATTATATGTATTATATATATAACAACTTTACTCTAAGCCCCTCCCGTATACATCCGGCTGAACACACAGACACACAGCTGAGGGAGGGGATTCAGCTAGCGACTGTATATGGAGACGATAGGTTGGGACGTGGGCGGGGCGTTGTCAGGAGTTCAACGTGAAGCCAGCCCACATTTTAGTAATGTCGTCATGACTGCAGCAAATCTGGATCAGCTCCGTTGTACCCCCTTTTTTAGAGATGTGGGTCAGGAGGTAAGGATTGAGGGTTTTATTACACACATTTATGTATAAAAGACATCAAAAAGTGCATTTTGCATAAAAGGTGACCTTTAAATCACACAGTGGATCTCAATGAACTAAACATTTAAGTTGAAAATCTTTATTTATGCATTGTGTACATTTTTTGGAGGACATGACATGAGAATTGAGGATGTATTGAAAATCACCTCGAAAAGCCAACAGGCTGTTCCAACTAGCGTCAAGCTGATCACGACCACTCGTCATAGGTGTACTGTTTGTTGTAATCCAAGTTATTTAAAAGAACGAGAGCGAGATGCAAGTATGAACTTTGACTTCTTCACTATAATTAACTCTTCTTCACAAGCATTATGCAAAACATACATCAGGGTCTACCCCGCTATCTATTGGGTGAATTAGGTACTGAAAACACAACATATTAGGAAGCTTATCGTGTGAAATAAAACTATCCTTTAGACCAGGGGTATCAAACTCAAGGCCCGTGGGCCAAATCTGGCCCGCGACCTGAGCTTGCAAAGAATATTATATACAATACAATTGGTTTAATTGTTGAATATTTGCTTTAAATTATTTGCCCTAGACTTCTGCTTTCAGACGTAATTATTTATGAAGTTATTACCAGAACTGATAATGATCCAATGCAGAGCCAATAATGCAATATAATACATTATTTAATATATATTATATACGTATATTTATATAGAGAAGCCAATAGTGTGCAAAGCTGTCATCAAGGCAAAATGGGGCTAATTTGAAGAATCTAAAATATAAATCATATTCTGGATTTTTGTACACTTTTTTGTTTACTAGATAATTCCACATTACATTACATTACATGTCACTTGTTAGACGCTTTTATCCAAAGCGACTTACATACTCAATACTGTGGGCAATCCCCACAGGAGCACTTTGGGGTGAAGTGTCTTCAGGGACACAACGACATGCTGACTGCAGTGGGGTTTGAACCTGTGCTCCCCTGATCCAAACACCACTAGTCCACTGCGCCACATGCCATATGTGTTCTTTTATAGTTTTGATGTCTTTAGTATTCATCTACAATGGAGAAAATTATTAAAATAAATAAAAACCTTCAAATGAGAAGGTGTGTCCAAACTTTTGACTGGTACTGTATATTTATATAGTTACAGCTGGCCCTTTGAGTGTAACCATAATGCTAATGTGGCCCGCGATGAAATTGAGTTTGACTCCTGCTTCAGACTATGAAACAAGGCAAACTTAAATGTCATTCTTATCTAAGCCTTAACAAACAAACATCTTTTCAATAGAATGAGAATATTAATTGTATGACAGTATTACTGAACTTTACTGCAGTAAACTAAATAATTTCACAAAACAAAATGTGCATTATATTTGCAGGCCATTTAACCTCACAATTAATGTTCATAATTGTTAAGACATGCAGGCTTCTTTCTGACCCTGGTGGGTCTCTGGATGTCATCATCCAATGATGGTGCAGGCCCCGGCTCCGGAACAGGAGCAGGGTGAGAAACGTCCTTTGCACTTTCCAGGGAACAGAGCGAGGTGAGTAGCATTCCATGTGCGTCCGTCCTCCAGCACAAAGGCACTTGAAACAGCTCTTCGTCTCACCTTTGCAGGTCCCTGAAACCTCGCTTGGTTGTGCGCACCCTAACATTAGTGAATTGGAATAATCCCTTAAATTATAATTCCCTTGTCTTTTAGTGAAATGTATTTGAATATTACCTGGGAGTCGATTTGAAATTCCGACAATTTTAATACGTTTAACTCTAAGGATAGTTTGTTGTATGTTCCCAATAGCCAACATTTTGCGTCATTCTTATTGCCCTTTTTTCACCCCTGAAATGATCAGTGCACATCCCCCATATATAACATAATGTAACTGGCAAAAATACAAGAATTTCATGCATCGGCCTACAGCGGGAAAGTGGTTGAATCTGGTGGAATATAGTAGAAATGTCAAATATCACTACTTTTCTTCTAAATGAAATGCTGACATTACAAATGTATGGTTTTATACTGCAATGGCAGTGAGATCAAAACATGTGGTTTGAATGGAAGTCAATGAGGCATTTTGAAAAAAAATATATAATGCAATCAAATCAATCTTGTTGTTAATCTTTGACATATCCAAGACTCTAATAACCACCAAAGCCCCACCCCCCTACTAATTCTTATATTGAAAATATATAATTTTTTGTGTATTATTAATAAATGATGTCACTCAAATAATCAAACAGGCATTTAAAGGGTTAAAATCCTGAAAATAATTGAATATTTTGTAGTTTTTGCACTTTACAAGTTGATTTATGAAGAAAAAGGAAAACATACTGATGTATGATTTAATAAGAGTATTAACATACACATTCCTTTGTTTTTTCATTGATTTTAATGAAGCTGTTGATAGTAAATAGTATGTAAAAAGCTCATCATCTTGTTAGAAATACACAATATTACAACTCAAATCGTAACAGCAGAAATATCTATATTCATGTTTTCAATAAGACATAATAAAGAACAGTTAAACACGTGTAAAAACACAGGAGTCAGAAGGGTGTGATCGAGTAAATGATACTCCTTTACCTCAGCATGTATTAAGTTCTCTATGTCACTTTGATTCAAAAACAAACCATTGGTAACTATTCCAAAAGAAATCACAGCATGGGGCCAGTTACAAAATCTACTGAAGAAATAACAGTATTTTTCCTTTATAGTGCTAAATACTCTTAATAGCAGAAGAGTACAACTTCCATCTGGATTCACTATCCTGCATGCACCAATGAAAGTATTTGCTGCAGCTGAACGTGTTGAAGACACTTGAAATAATGTCAGTGTGAATCTTATCCCACTGCAGAGCCTGAAATACTGAACCTTTTCCAAACATGAGCTCAAAGGTTGTTTGCGACCCAAAAGCTACATTTCATTTTAAAATAAAATATGGTTAATGCATAGAGAACATTTGATATTGACCAACAACAGTAATACAGAGAATAAAGACCAAAGTCATACACATCTGAATCATGTGCATTTCTGTGCTTGAAGCTGACCTTTTTCTGAACATAATAGCTCTCACACTTATGAAGGGCTATCAGGGCCAGGCATACAGTAAGTGAAACCAACGGGAGGGGGGAGATAGCTTCTGCTTTTTTTTGCATTAGTAGAATGTAACAGACATGTTAAGAAAATAGTTTAAATATTGAGAAAACATTTGAATATTAACTTCATAACGTATGTCAATTTTGTATAAAGTCGAAGAGTTTTGAATAAAGTTGATATGACACATTTAAAGTAGAAATGTGGAACACTGTGGAGAATAGTCATTTGCACATATACTTTAAGTTTGACTATATCTCCATTTTTGGACTTTATTCCTCCTATCCTCCACTGATTGAGACCTAACCTGGGCTGGATGGTTGGCTGCAGGATACTCAGAAGAGGCCCTTAGATCACTTTTGCCTTTGGACCCCAAATTAATCTTGCCCTGCGTCATTCAATACATATTTATTGAAATGTGTTTGGTCAATGGAACAGTTGACCTGTTAAAGAACTGTTAAAGCAGGGCAGAGAGTGACTCCACCCTGCTGTGTTCTTTGTAATAAGCTCTGTCAGTCTGCAGGATCTGTGACAGATACTGTGGAGGAAGAAGGTCAGAGAAATGCTGAGTCAGGCAGTAGCTTGGCCCAGTGGTGTGTGAGCAGCAGACCTTCTTCACTGATGCGGTGCATCCTGTGCCGGTCCCATGATGGAGCTCTGACCCAGCAGCTGCTCTGGTGGGTGCAGGAACACCAGCATCACGGTGATGTTGTCACATGAGCCCGCCGCCTTGGCATGGGCTACCAGCTGCTGAGCCACTCTCACCCCCACAGTCTCCTCGGATGGATCCAGCGGAGCGTCCCACCTGCCCTCGGGGTCATCAGACTGCCTGAGTGCATCTAGGACCAGTTGTGGGACTTCTGAAGGTTGGACTGCATCAAAAAAGCCATCGCACGCCAGCAGCACATAGTCCTCGTCCCCGCTCAGCTGGGTGGTGAAGCAGTCAGCATCTCCGGACACGTAGGGCTTCTGGTCGAAGTCACCTGCAGGAGGGATGTGGATTGGTTGGACAGCTTCAGCTAAACACAGCTGTACCTCTTCAGACTGACTCCAGGCCTGAAATCTTATCTTACTAAATGTTTACTAAAGATTAATCAGTGTCACTGCTTTTGCTAATAACAATTTAAGATAAAAAATAAAATAAAATAAATGCTGCAGACAGGATTCAGAAATGTAATAATGACCCATTTTAAGGAAATGATCGGGTCTATTTTGCAGATTTCCTAAGTGTCCACAAGAGGGAGTCATTGTCTGCAGAACATGTGTTATAATTCCTGTTGATCATATACAGTCGACTGGCTAATATAATATGAAACCAAACCCGGTGTGAACATGATCCCAAAGTCAGGACAGGTGATTGATACTCCCCTTCCTCTGTGCAGAAACAATACTCCATACGGTACTTCTGGAAATTCGATTGTCTAGGCTCTCTTGTTTTTACAAAAACATTGATAGCCCTGTAGTTGAGGCAGTGGTGGGCCTAAACATATCAGAATCCCTGACTAACCTTTTAATATCGTTTTTTTATGAACACATTACATTATTTCCAATAGTCTATTCTCTTCATCTTATAGCTTGTCTCTGTGGTGCGCTTGGTTGCGCTGCGTCCAGTAATGATTGTTAATGTTGGAGCTTTTATCCAATCATATATCAGTATTACCTAAGCCCAAACTCACCTATAGCTCTGGATACAGCATAGGTGCCATTCACACGCCAGCAACCCATAAAGGTGACACAGCCACCGAGATCCTCAATCCTCTGTTTCTCATCCTGGGGAGGGGAGGACAAAAGAGACCTCAAGACTTTGGAGCCGTCCAATGCTCGATGGATCATCCATCAACTTCTGAGATGCTGTTAGACTCTACATCATTTTGACAAATTAAACTTAGTGCATCTGACAATTGATTGCAAAATGATCAGACAACAGCCCCGTTCACACAGAGATGAGGTTTGATCTCTCCTCCAGACTCCTGACAACTTTATGTTGAAACAAGTGCTACACGTGCCCCAGAACCTCATTCTGTTATACCCCTGTGAATTGATCATGTGATATTTCCTGACCTTCTCTGTTGGGAAAACATAACACTGAGAAGTGAGCATGTGCATGTGTGCATCATCCCCACCTCTCGGTCTGGTTTATGGGGCTCCATGAGGGTCACAGCCTGTCCCTTTCTGACCAGTGTGGCCTGAGAGTCTCCCAGCCAGGCCACGGTCAGCTGCTGACCCTGGATCAGCACAGCCACGCCTGTAGTGCCGCTCCGCAGCCGCTGACAACACACACAACACACACAGATCTCTGAGCCTGGGTTTCTGAGCGAATCAGCATGCAGAGGAGGAGCTGTGAGGCTCTGTGCAGCGCTCTGATTCTTACTTTTAGGCTGCACACTTCCTACACATGTTGGGTAACAGAGAGGTGGCACAATGTGAACACAAACATAACTATTACTGTTATATACAAAATTAGGCAGATGGATAGAAAAAGAAATACAGAAGTTCAATATCAAAAACAAACTATAGTTATTATTACTTAGTAATACTATAGTTGTAGTAAAAGACTAAATAGGGAAAGTTATTAGTGTTATTAATCTTATACGATTCAATTACTTTGTAATGGATCCTTTATATCAATTGCATCGATTTATAGTATTTCTCTTCAATTAATGATTCTAGTAATTGGTCATTATTGGAGATAAGAACACACTTTGTTCCCTCCCAAAGGGATACCAGGGGTGTAACCGCAGCTAAAACAGGAATAAATATAGGTAAATATAATAAGAGGGATACCCAACTGATGAGAATAAAAGCAATAAGAAATAGGAGTTGTAAGCGAAGGTCACCTGTGGCGCACTTCATACCTCTCTCTTGGCTTTGCCCCTGAACATGTGGTCTGTGTGTGTGAAGGCTCGTTTCAGGGCAGTGGCGGGGTCCCTCTGCAGGGTCTCCTGTCTACTCAGGGCCACATGGAGGTGCGTGGCAGCGTAGGTGGCAGCGTCCACCCCTCCATGGCCGTCAAACACAGCGTAGTAGGCACACTGCTCTCTGTCCTGGACACGGAACAGTGTGAACAATAGTATTTATAGCATACAGCTTTTTTTTTTAAACTAACCCATGAAGAATATATATATATATCTTGTACCTTGAAACCAAACAGCTGGTTGAACTCAGCCAGTGCCATGTGTTTGTCCTCCATCTTCCTCCTCGTGTTCTTAATGGCATGGACAGAGCAACGGAGGAAGCGGGGAGGGGGGGGGGAGGGGCTCAGGGAGCTTTTGATGCCATGCCAGCGCCACATTTATAAGCTTGTTGAGGAAAAGACGTTGGACTGCCTCCGACTGAAGCACTGAAGGGAAGATACAAATCAAATCAATTAATCAGAATCTTTAATACTTTTTGGCCATTGGAAATACAATACATGACAGATGATAGACAACAAAACCAACAAAGAAGAGCAGCATGGCAGATTTTCATAGTTCTAGGTTATGGGTGCATTTGGAACTCCACATTAGGGATGCCAGCGATTATTCGATTATTCGTTACAGTCTCCATAATCGAAGATTATTTTTAAAATTCGATTTTATTTATATATTTTTTTATTATTATTTATGTTTTTCTTTTTTTTCCTGGCTTAGTTTCAACCAAAATATAGACTAATGCTAATAATAGTAATAGTATTAATAATTGTAAATGACCATTGATCACACCACCAGTTTGTTTTACTGTAAACTTGGAGGAAGCCAGCAGCGCAGAGTGCAGACTGCTGCTGCCTGCTACACACCGACCCCGCCCCCCCCCCCCTCCCTCTCCGTCACACGTGCGATTGATTTATTGGCGACAGAACAGTGAGAACACAACTAAAGATGAACAGAGCGGCACGTCCACAGAAGAGTTCCTCGTGGAACTACTTCGAACTGACAAGTGCAAATGAAGTCAAATGCAAGCTCTGCGAAAATACTTCTTTTTTTTTCTCTAGAATGAGTATCGGGGGAGGATAAGTTATGAAGTTAATATGACATGTCTCAATAGCCGCTTTCACACAATGTACTTTGCCGTACTTAGTTCCCAGAACTTAGAATGGAACTAAGAGCAGATCGCGTTCACACCGGAATAAGTTCCCTGAGGGAGGATTAGGCAAATGAAGCCGCTGACGTCACTTCGTCTTCTTCTGCTTTGGGTTTACTGGCAGGCCGCAAACAACTTCACGGCGTATACTGTCACCCGGAGTCCCCGGCCGGAAGTCCCCGGAGTTGGGGACTGGCTCCAGTCGAAGCTGCTGGGACTCCCAGCAGCTTCTACTGAAGCCTTCCGAGTAAATCGCCAGAACGCCGACACCTCCTCATCTCCACCGCTCCCATGTTTTATTTTATGTTGCCATAAGTTAGTCTCTCTGCGTTTGCGCGCTGGGCTAATGCTAATGCTAATGCCAGCAAATACAATGGCGGCTTCACAGTTTTACGGGGCGTGGTTGTGCCTAGCAGGCACTAAAAATGGGGGTAAAGGTTCTCGGAACTAAGTTCTCTTTTTGGTGTGAACGCAAAATTCCAGGCACGAACGGAACTAAACGGGAAAAGTACGGGGAACTCCGGTGTGAACGCGCCTATTGTAGTATTGAACACTTTATTGCTGAGGAACTTGAATAAAAACGATTGTTTGAAGGAGGTGGTTTTCGCAGCAACATAAATTAGACAGTTGAGAAAGAATGGACCTTTTTAACTTCCTAATAAAAGAACAGCATGCAAACAATAATAAAAAAACCATGGTATCAAGTTGGCAACAAGAATCGAGTGAAGAAATTCACTGGAGTTCTTTTGGGGTATTGGGTAGGGATGTGCTAATACATCAGCTGCTGTTAGCCCTATTTAAAACCATCGGCTACAATTTCCGCCCTGGGAAGCGAGTGTTTTCAGGATCAATAAATGAAATTCAACTATCAGAGTGTTCTCAACTCCTGATCAGTTCACTGGGAGAAGTTCTGCTGCCGATTCAGACTGTGTGGCAGCAGACCAGCCGTCAGAGCAAAATCCACACGGCCCCGGGGAGGGGTCTGTCTGAGCAAACACACTAAATCTGACCTTGTAAATCAGATGTAACTGTGTTAGTCGGGTGTTCACACAGTGAGCATGCAAACAAAGCTTTATTCTAAACATAGTATGAGACATTTGACATTAGTGCATCTCTAGTCTTGGGAAACCCCTCAATATAACACAGTATGTTTCAACAGCACCACAAACTGCAGCTTCCAAAATAAAACTCACAGGCGACTGGCTGTTCCTCCTCCTGGTTGTCCTCAGCCTCCTGGGGGCAGTGAAAAGGTGAAAGGTCATCCTGCAGCAGCTGGGACTGCGCTGCCTGGCAGAGGAGGGCACTGAAGCCAGCAGGAGCCCCCCTGAACACACAGACACAGGCAGGGATGCATGGTGTATTTTGTCAAGATCCAAACAGGAAATGTCCCTTCTCTTTTACAGAATTACATTCCTGTTGCAGAACAATTCTGGGCTTAGGAAACAGGAAATGGGGATAACAATGGGGTCTCTTCAGACAGGATATTGAGTATTCTTGGCAGGGCATAAGAAAGAGCAGAAGCGAGAACAAACAGTCCAATTGTTCTTGCCTCACACATGTTTGCTAAAACATTTGCGCAGTGCAAGTAAATAAGGAATGAGACAAAAAAGGGTAATTCTTACTGGTTTGTAATAGTTTACACTGCTTCTAGGCTGAAACCCTTCTTAAGTCATGCATACGTGAAACAGATTCATAAGCTTTGATCAAACATGCACAGTGAGGGAGCAGGCAGGAGCAGAGCGGTTGGGAATGTGAAGAATGCAGCCACACACACACACACAAGATTGGCAGACAAAAGAATAGGTTAAAGTTCAAAGAAAAAGTGAAGCTGTTGTCATACCTGGCAGCCAGCAGCCTGAGACCCAGCTCCAGGCTCTCTCCCTGCAGCTCCCCCAGAGATGCTGTGCGGCTCAGGGGGCTGACGGGCAGTGCACCCCCCTCCTCCAGAGCAGCCGGGAACTCCTCCACAAACCTCCCCAGGAAGCACCTGGCCGCCTCCTCCATCCCACTGACTGCAGCAAGCTCTGAGGGGGGTCAGGGGTCACAGGTAACAGTGGAGCCTTACAGGGCAGAGAGAGCGGGGTGGGGGGGCTCAATGACACATCGAGCGACTCGAAAATATACTTCCAAAACTATAAACATACAGTGGCCCTTCCTCATTTCACTAATTACCCCTCCTCGACTCCTCGGTCCTCCGGTAGTGACCCGGAAATGAATTTCAGCGCGCCATGTTGAAGGACATCTCATTTCTCTAAATGCACTTCGAGGACCGAGCATCGAGCGTCGAGGAGGCTCTCTGGAGGAGCTATAACCGAGGATACACTGATGCATCCTCCGCGGATGCATTTCCGGCAACAGTGATGTTTAAAAGAGTCGTGGCGCACGGCTGGACTATATCCAGTCTCTGATAGTGTTACGTTATTATGAGAGTGCTCTCATACTTGTTTGAATCTGAAATTGTATATATTTATATACATATATATATATATATACCTATATATGTGTGTGTGTGTGTGTGTATATATGTCCGCATCTGTAGCCTGTTATTGTCTCATTATACCGCACTGTGAATGAATTAAAAGTAAATATATAAGTCATCATGAACACATCTGTCCATCAGACAGAGGGCTGTGCCTCCTGTCATCATTAATGGACGTCTCTTTAAAATGACCGTTTTCATTTCTCTAACCGCCTGCTGCTTCCCCTATTAGTGAAATGAGAAAGGGCCAGTGTGTAGAGCTATCATGTGTATTTGCATCAGTCGTGTGTGTGTGTGTGTGTGTATCAGTCCTGTGTGTGTGTGTGTGTGTGTGTGTGTATGCATCAGTCCTGTGTGTGGATTTATGTGTGTGAGTGAACTGTTTATATGCATCAGTCCTGTGTGTGTCAGTGAAGTGTGTGTGTGTGTATATGCATCAGTCTGAAGTACTTTGTGTGAATAGATTTTCGTTAAGAATGTGACTCTTAAAGCACTATTTCAGTGAAACAATGCCGTTTTCGGTAGAACATGAAGCACTTTGTAAGGAATAGTGTTTTGTTAATGGCAGTTTGTGATTGTAAGGCCGTTTATGTGTGTGTATGTCTTAGTGAACATGCATCAGTCCTGTGTGTGTGTGTATGCATCACAAGCTGCCACGTGCTTGCAGTCTACTATGTCGTGTACTATGCTTTCCCAGAAGTAACGTGAGTGTACGTGCTGTTATATCTTCGATTCTTTAATCATCTTATTGTTATTATATCACCAAATAGTTTGGCTCTCAATAACTTCAGCATACTTTCAGCTACAGAAACCATTCAAATATCAAACTATTCAGCCTTTTCAGCACATGATGGGAAACTTTCAACTTTTTCAAAATATGTTATACTTTTTGAAATATTCAGCTTTTTAAACTCTTTTTTTTAACATGTAACTCAATGGGAGGATCCCGGTAAACATTCATTCACTACTACTTACATTTAATATCTAACTCCTTCAGCCTACTTTCAGCTGGAGAAACCATTCAACTATTAACTTATTCAGCTATTTCAGGACATTGAGGCTATACATGTTGTTAACTTTTTTTTAAACCTTTTCTTTTAAATATTAAGCTTCTTCACTATTTTTCCTACTCTTCCAGTTTAACATTTCACTTTCAAGTTTTCAACAAAGTCATTGCAATGCATTTGAGCTGTAACAATTTAGATTCAAATCATTTCACTTTTCTGCATTTCTCCGCTAAGTTCAGCAACACACTGACTTGGTTTTTGTAGCTAAAAGCAGCTACCATTCAGCTAATAACATATTCTGCTTTTTCTGCATTTTCAGCTAAATTCAGTCACAACTGTTCACAGTTTACAGCATTCGCACGCATTTTCTGCAGGAAATGCATTTTCCAGTTTCCCTAGTGTTGCACTCAGCAGCATAACATTAGGCTACATTAGTTTAGAAATCTTCCCGACGAGTAGGGTGCACTTTTTTAATGCTACATTGAGCTAGCCTGAAACATGTCATTATCTTTAGCACAGTAAAGTCTTAGGAACAGAGATAAAGATTCACTGAAAGCTCAAACACTGACCTGCTGGAAGACGTGATGTTAGGAACACTGCTGCTAGTATCACCGTGAGGTGTGGTGGATTCCGGCTGGGTTCCGGGTTTCCGTTCGCAGCCCCGCCCACATGCCTCCTTCCGCTGGAGATTTAAAGGGCCATGCCAACATCTAGGGTGTTTCTCAATCGCGAGTAAAGCTGCTTCAGAGCCACTATTTCAAGCATACTACGTCATCGAGTGCCGCCGAAGTACTGTTCCAATCTCCAGTATACTTGGAAATCTACCGAGCCCGGCGTACTCCGTTTGGAGAAATATCGAGTCTGCACATGAGTAGACTTCGCGGTCTTAAAATCCCCACAATGCTTTGCGCACGGACCAATTTCCCCAAATCTGTGGCGGAAGATGTAAGGCGGGGCCTCTCATATGACGCACACCTGCACACTTGCTAGCGTGTTCCACACTTCGTTTTCCGAATGCCAGGAAGTATTCTTGACTCGCTTCTGAAGCAAGATGCTCGGCAGACATGTGCTACCAAGCAAGCGTACTCGCGATTGAGAAACACCCCTAGACACGGGTTATGGCCTTTATATATACAGGGTGGTAGCACATGTCTGCCGAGCATCTTGCTTCAGAAGCGAGGCAAGAATACTTCCTGCCATTCGGAAAACGAAGAGTGGAACAGGCTAGCAAGTGTGCAGGTGTGCGTCATACGAGAGGCCCTGCCTTACATCTTCCGCCACAGATTTGGGGAAATTGGTCCGTGCGCAAAGCATTGTGGGGATTTTAAGACCGCGGAGTCTACTCATGTGCAGACTCGATATTTCTCCAAACGGAGTACGCCGGGCTCGGTAGATTTCCAAGTATACTGGAGATTGGAACAGTACTGCGGCGGCACTCGATGACGTAGTATGCTTGAAATAGTGGCTCTGGAGCAGCTTTACTCGCGATTGAGAAACACCCACAGTCTATGGTTATGGCCATAGACTGTATATATAAAGGTTATGGCTAGAAAGGATCCGTCTTGTGTAAATATGACCGGAAAGAGAAGGGAAAGATTTAGAACCTGAAAAAAAGAGTTCTGAACCTGAAAGCACAAAATCTGCAAGTGAAACAAAGGATTAAAATGTAATTTCTTTGACAACGAAAACATTTTTCAAAGAAAATGCTACATCATAATATTTAATTCAGCATGGAAAAACTTTTCAAATACTTATTTTTAAATTTGAAGACTTTAGTTAATTTTTTATAGTTCAGGATCAAATCTTGACATTTCAAATACATGTTGGCCCAGATTAAGCTCCTTACATAGAGAGGCGAAGTCCCTCCCTTTCCGGGGGACCTCCATGGGACCTTATTTCGGAAAAAGTATGTATTGAAGTCAATGGGGAGAGAAAGATCATCTTATATAATAAGATAATTTTGCAAGTCAAGAAAAAAAATGTTTGTCGTAAAACTGTAAAGTAACACTTTTTTTTGTGTGAAACCGCTCAATGAACTACATCTCCCGTCTCGCACCACACACCAAGACGGCCGTCACGTTGGCACATTTAACTTCTTTCTTTCAGAATGAGGCGGAAAGTATTAAAAGAGGTGAAAATCACTACAAGTCTGGGCATGTTGAGAGCTGTACATACACACAAGGGGAGTTAGTCGGTTCCGTAAGAGCCAGCATGCGGGACCGGGATTCTGGGATTTGTAGTCTTTCTAGTTGCGTATATTTCAACAGTTTTACGACAAACTGACTTTTTTGACATGTAAATTATTTTGTTAAGATTGACAAACATCATATGTGTAATTCGTGGCACAATTCAAACGGGATCGAGAGATACGTTTTCTCTCTCCATTGACTTCACACCGGAGTACATACTTTATATATACATACTTTTTCCGAAATAAGGTCCCATGGAGGTCCCCGGAAGGGGAGGGACTTCGCCTCTCTAGGAAAGAACATGAAATGAAACTACTAAAAAGGATGATTACACTGAAAAAGAGATTTGTCTAAACTTAAAATAATTATTGAATCAATCAACAACCATTTGTAATGCAATAAATTGTAAAAGAGACATCATTTCTCATAAATCTGTGATAATACTTTTAAAAGTGTGCATCATTTAGGGGGTCTTTTAGCAGGAATGGAATGCAAAAATTCATACATTTCACTACTGTATAATCGCCTGAAACTGAGAACAGTGTTAGAATGTGACATGTTGCACCGCCATGTTTCTACAGGAGCTCAGAACAGACAAACACTTTTAATGTCAGCCACAGCTTGAATTGAATTGCCTCTAAAGTAGTGTTTTGGTAAAAGGGTTTTCTGGTGAATGTCATGTGAAGGGTTAGAGCGGGTTTAAACTCAATCCTGCAAGTGTGTAAAGTGAGGGTTGAGCCACAGGGATTCAGTTGGTTGTAATCTGCAACCGCAACGAAAGATGCCGACAAATTCCTTCCTTTAACATTTGTATTTTTGTAAAAATTAAATGATTGTGTAGTACAGATAGCATAATAAAAGTGTACGTAACCATGTTAACTGGTAGTGTGTAAGCTAGCACACTTATTCTAGGATGTTTCCCTGAAAACAGCATTTAAAGTTGAAAAAACACTGTTAAACAACTCTTTAATGATGGGGGGAGAACAGACAGCCCACATTTTTTGTACATATTTTATTTGAGTGTAGTTAAATGCACTTATAAAAGTCAATTTACTGAATCTTCATACTATGTGTCAAACAAATAACAGTATGCATTATACACAGACACTACACAAAGTATGCAGCCAAGGCCGCCATTTTGTCTTTAGGTTTTTTCGGATTGCCACGGCGTCCCCTGCCACGTCCCCGTCCTCCTCGTCTCGCACCCCCACCGCGATACCTCATGGTGGCATGTTTGAGCTCCACCAGATCCTGGAAGACTGGATCACAGAACACACAGCCAGTGTGTTGGGTCTCCCCGGCAGGAAGTGGCGTCCGAGTCTTGTTGAAGTCGACTGCGACCAGAGAGGCGTCGCAGGCCTCGCAGCTCTCCTGAGCAACCTGTGGGGAGAGAGGACCAGAGGCAGGGATGAAGAGACGCTTTTTATGAGATTAAATGATAAAAGCGTCAGAACAAATGTAAGTGGCTCCACAGCTTAGGGTGTAAACTATAATCAATTCATAACTTTAGTGATCCACTGACTTTCCCTCTAGTGCCAACACCTGGTTCTGCTCTCAGTGAAATCAGTAAAACAGCATTATTACTGCATTACTTCCACCTATTTAAATAACTTTTGATAAAAACTGTAGTAGGATATTATTTATTCTTTATAAAAAATTGAACTTTATATGCTTTTTTAAATATGTCTTAGTTTCAAACAAATCCACTTAGGGCAGAGAGCCATAGAAAGGGAAGTCAGACGTGTTGAAAGACTGATTGTATTGTATGTTTGGGCTTGTCTTGGTTTTTATTGTTGACAATAAAATATGGAAATAATGGTACGCATTTCCTTCAAATTCTGCAGCAAAACAGTCTGCACCTCATTGCACATAAGAGGAAACACATTTAAATTTGCAAATCACTTTACATTAAAAGGCTTACATACAGCATGTGAATATACACTATGCATTAATCAGGGAAATCAGCTTCTCATATGTTTGGTGTTCTGGGCCTGTGAAGACTTTTTTGGCATTTTGGGAGACATTTTGCCATTTAAATGAAGTCTTGACAAGATAAAGGTCGTTTATTCTTACCTGCACTCTATGTGCATGTTCAAAGAAGTGCACCACCACGTTACATGTATTACAGGCCATCCTCCATTTTGGTCCAGAAGTGGGATCCAGCACCAAAACCCCACCATCACACTCCACACACTGTCCAATGCCCAAAGAGTTTAGAGAGTGCTGACACGACGGATGTGTACATTCATTACATCCCATACCTGGGAAAAAAAAGTCAGAATGTCAGAGGACTATAGGAGACAAAGACAAAGGGCCACTGTGTTCCATTGACTTTCAGCTCCTGATTTATTACAAACTCAGCTAATTATGCCGAAACTCCAGTACTGAACTGGTACTGACGACTAGCTAAACCCTGCGAGTACCGAAAGATGCTGCGGTTCAACTCCACCTGAGGATAAATATTAGCACTCAAAATAACGTTGCACTTAACATGACAGTGACTTCCCCAAAGAGGTTGCCCGAGGACTTCAACTGCTACTTCTTGATAAAAGGACATCATTTTTCATTGTTATTCATCATTATCTAACAAACGTTCACAAAGTCATTTTGCCTCACTAGTGTTAGAGCCAATTTTACGTTTGCCGTCAGGGTCACATGGCTCCAGCAGCGACCAGAACAGTGACCGAGAGTTCAGGAGGACAGTCCTACCTTTCTTCATGTCCCTGAAAGGCGGGTTGCTGAAGCAGTATGGGCACAGGGGGTAGCTCTTGCCCCGGGGCCCCGAGGTCCACAGCACCAGCTCAAACTCGTCCAGCGGACAGCGCAGCTCCTTGTACAGCTTGATGGCTCCGTTCTGGGGGAGACTGTAGGTCTCGTCACAGTGGGAGCAGTGCAGCCGGCTGGGCTTGGCCTGCAGAGACACACGAGGTTGGGTATGATGTGAGGATTATTCAATTGCAATTGCATCATGGGAATAGACAGTTAAGACAACAATGGGTGAACACTAAATCCAACTAGAAAATGCATTGCGTGTGAATGCTGTAAACCGTGTACATTTGTGGCTGAATTTAGCTGAAAATGCAGAAAAAGCAGAATATGTTATTAGCTGAATGGTAGCTGCTTTTAGCTACAGAAACCAAGTCAGTGTGTTTGCTGAACTTAGCGGAGAAATGCAGAAAAGTGAAATGATTTGAATCTAAATTGTTACAGCTCAAATGCATTGCAATGACTTTGTTGAAAACTAGAAAGTGAAATGTTAAACTGGAAGAGTAGGACAAATAGTGAAGAAGCTTAATATTTAAAAGAAAAGGTATAAACAACAACATGTATAGCCTCAATGTCCTGAAATAGCTGAATAAGTTAATAGTTGAATGGTTTCTGTAACTGAAAGTAAGTATATATATATATATATAGAAATGTATTTATTGGGATAAACCCCTTGAGATGCACCATCTCGTTTTCAAGGGGGTCCCGACAATAGCAACAACTTACAGACATACATAAACAAAAAGACAAAAAGCAAAACATGACACACAAGACAAACCACGTAGTCTGTTAAGTAACATTCAAGTCATACATACAATCATTACAACCATTACAATGTGAGAGACAGTCGAGCAGATCAGTTTCATCAATAACAAGTGCAGACCAGTTGAAAGTGAGATGATAATGTTTAAACATACCCAATGATGCAAGAGATCTAATAGCAGCAGGTCAAGTATTCCAGTCTGTTGGGGCTTTGAACATGAACGCTCTTCTGACAATAGGTTTTTTTGCAGAGGGGACAGAGAAATAAATCTGGACAGAGTGTCTAACTTGATGATTTGGCGAGTAGGGTACACAATACTGCTTTAAATAAGGGGGATAGTTAAGATAAATGCATTTAAATATCAGCTGAAGCCAATGCGTGTGTCTTCTTACATTTAATGAAGGCCATTTAAGTTGGTTATACATTGTGCAGTGATGTGTACGAAAAGGACAACCAAGAACAAATCTGCATAGTCTATTGTCTGACCAACAGGTCAGACTGTTTTCCATTAACAACCACACATTGCTTTCTATTGTGAAGGTACGAGTTCAACCATAACACTGTATTTTTAGAAAGGCCAATGCCGTGAAGTTTATCTAAGCGCAGATATCGATCAACGAAATCAAAGGCTTTTGTCAAGTCAATAAAAAAAATATATATATATATATTAGGGCTGTCAGTCGATTAAAATATTTAATCGCATGATTGTCCATAGTTAATCGCAAATTAATCGCACATTTTTTATCTGTTCTAAATGTACCTTAGAGGGATATTTTTCAAGTTTTTAATACTCTTATCAACATATGAGTGGACAAATATGCTTTATATGTTTGTTTATTATCATTTGAACAATGACAAATATTCTCATGAATATTAAACACAACAACCTGAACATTACAAATATTCAACCTGGAACCTCTCTCATAGTGTGTGTGTGTGTGTGTGTGTGTGTGTGTGTGTGTGTGTGTGTGTGTGTGTGTGTGTGTGTGTGTGTGTGTGTGTGTGTGTGTGTGTGTGGCGGCGCTCAAGGCATATATGCTCGAACGTGTGCTGCCTGGACGCTGCAATCATGTTGCGCGTACTATCCGTGCTGAGTGTGCTGACTTTTCGAACAATGTCCCACTGTCTGGCTACCTGCATAAAGTCAAGTGCTCGGCGCAGTTGTCGGCGAAATGTCATTGAAACAGCTCCTTATATCCCTTAGCGCAGCTAGCTAGCACCAGATGCTAACAACAACAACACGTAAGGCGTGTACGTTCTCTCTCTCTCGCCCCACACATACACACACCCTCCCGGTCCTCCCGATGGCCAGTCCGGGCCTGCCGGTGAGCGTGGAAGTGTGGTCTGCCACAAGCGGGCAGCAGGAGCGGGGCTGTCAGCATCAGCTTGTAGATGGTATTTTAAACTTGATGCGCTCTGAAACTACGGGGCGGCCGAGGACAAAAAATACACATGCGTTAATCGCGTTAAAATAATTAGTGGCGTTAATAATTTTTTTGCGTTAACTTGACAGCCCTAATATATATATATATATATATATATATATATATATATATATATATATATATATATATATATATATATATATATATATATATATCAGGTGATGGAATGAATCCAGATATTATTATTTTACAATAAATTGTATCTATGGGAATTGTTCACAGTCACAAGGGGAAATGGACTGACAAAAAGGTCAAACAATACATCGATTCCATTTCCAATTGAAATCTAAAACACAGATACTTTCATAACTGACACGCTAGCGAGAGACCAGATGTAAATCCTCAGAGCACATGGAGCCCTCTGCACACGTGAGCTTCCTGCGTAGCTCCAAGGTTCATTAAAAGAGTTACCTTGTGCCTTTCACCAACACACCACTTAACATGCACATACAACCCACTACGCATATATTCAGATACAATAAAAGATCTGCAGCCTCGTGATTTATTCATGAATTTAAAAGTGGTCCTATTATGAGGGGGACTTTGAAAAGCTGAACTTTGAAGGCCAGAGCTCAACAGCCAGACATCATGTGGTCCAGAAAGGAACATAAAAGGGGGGGGGGGTGTGTGTGTGTGTGTGTGTGTGTGTGTGTGGCGGTCTGATGGTCACTGCTGAGTAACAAAAGTTACAGCAGAAAGAGTAGAGTAGAATAATAATATACTTTTTAATATATGGCAGCATATTCCTTTAGATCTGTGGTTGGTTTTACTTTGTTGTTCACAAACTAAAGTAAGAGATGATTTTTACTTCATTTTGGAATATTTGTAGGCAAATTGTTGTGTGTATGCTGTAAGTGTAAAACCCAAATACTTATGTTCTTGCGTTCATAATTTAATATTTGTAAGTATTTCGTCACATCGTCAAGAATATTGTAATCTAAAAAATACCGTGAAATATGTTGATTTTGTTTTATGCTCATATTGCTCTGCCACACTTTGAATAGGCGCCTAGTGTTTATGTACGTGTATTCTTCACCTCTGTGCATTTTGAAAATTGTGATGTTAAAAAGGGCCAATGTCAGACTTTCTGATGATGAAATGTTCAAGCATGCTTTCTGATGATGACACCGTGCTGGCACTCTTCTCCTCACCTGGATGTACTTCATGAAGCGATGGCACTTCCCGCAGCGGGACAGGGGCTTCCCGGAGGCAGCAATGGGGGAGAAGGACACTTCCATCAGCTCATCCATGCCTGTAAACACCAAACAGACACAAACTCAACTTGTAGCCCTTTTTCTTAAACCCCCTAGTAATCCATATTACTATGTAATATGGTGATGCTGCATTCTAACACTTTTGGATCAGTTTCCCCCACACAACCTCCCTGAAAATCACTGTGTTCAAATGGAAAAGAAGACGTTGAATTTTCAGGCTGGGCTATATAAAGCCAACATCTTTTATCATGATATAGTTATTTTCATAAAAACTATATGTGACGATTTATAGCATGTTTTGTGGTAATTCAGGGTGTCCGCGGGGTCTTAAAAAGTATTAAAAGTTGATAAGAAAGAAAGATGGACTTTTATTAATCCCTCGTGGGGAAATGGTTTCTCTGCATTTGACCCATCCTAGTGTTAGGAGCAGTGGGCTGCCATTTTGAACGGCGCCCGGGGAGCAGTGTGCCCGGTGCCCGGGGAGCAGTGTGCCCGGTGCCTTGCTCAGGGACGCCTCGGTAGCACTTGGTCTTGCCGGGACTTGAACTGGTGACCTTCCAGTTGCCAAGCCAACTCCCTATCGACTTCGCCACCACCGATATTATTGATAATATAATTGATAAATCAATTTAGCGAAAATGAAGGCTATTAAAAAGTATTAAAAAGCATTTTCCAAGGTATTACATTTTGTAGCTTGTTTTCAATAAGTATATAAATTGTCCAAAGAGGTTGTATTCTACAGTCTGCCTGAATGTAACCATTGCGTAGGTGTGTAGTGTGATTGTGTACTTTATTTATGGCATCCCGTTGGATTTGACGTCATCTGAACAGGACATCGCACGCTCACTGCTTGATAGCGTGCGAAGCTCCGTTTACGCCGGTTGTTAAACAACATCGTTATGGGGAAATGCAAGTTTGCGTCCAAATGGTTGGAAGATAAGGAGGAAGGACAATCAATACTGTATATAGTCAATGTGAGGTAAAGTGTGTCGCCAATGTAACCAGTTAGAACTCAAAGTGGCGATGAGGTCCTAAAAAGTGTTGTGCAGACAATGGCTTGGAGGAGTTTGTGAACTTACTGGGGATGGAATCCACAAAGTAGTGGAACTTCCTCTTGAAGATGTCCAGCGTGTGCTGCAGGACCTGCTGGTGGTTGGCTTTCCCCAGAGAGATGAGGTTCAGCTGCTTCTCCACAGCGCTGCGGATGGTGGGCAGCACCAGCTCTGCATCTGCACACACACAGCCCCGCATTTATGTTTTCATAGCATTCCATCAAAGCCACTCACACATTCAGATGTCACCAACAATGCGGCTCACACATTTGAATAAACCTGACCGTTGTGTCTGATCTTATGTCACAGGGTTGATTAGATGACTAACTGCATAGGTGTCCAAAGACCATTAAGCAATGTTCTAGACATGAAGTCACAGCTCCAAAGAACACATGTCAGACAATGTAGAATAATATACAAATAAATAACCTGTCTTGTAGTAGCCATGCACTAGAACAATGCCCAGGTTGGTTGGCTTCAACTTGCGTCCATTCTCTACAGTCACATAGTTCCTCTGGCAGACGTTGTTGATGTGGACAGGAATGCTGGCGTCCGTCCCTGGAGGGGGGGCAGAGAGGCCAACATCTGTAAAACTCTTCATTATTGATTTGATCATCCCTTATCCGATGAAGGAAGTCATGCAGGTCCTCTTAAAGGTGCACATACAAAGGCAGAAAACAAAGGTCATCCTCAGTGAATACGGTGAAGAGTTCTTTTGCCTGAGGTACTGGCAACTATTTATTTCTGCTTTGTTTTGCTTGTTAAATCCAAATAAGACTGTTGGAGCTATATACTGCTTTATATTATTGAATAGTTTAACATTTATTTTCTTGTTGTGTGTATACTTAATGTTTTATTAAGTGTTGTTATTTAAGTTAGTTTTATTTCTAAGGCATGTTTGGGCACTGGGTGATTAGAGCACCTGGTGTGATGGTATATATTGGAGACAGGTGGTGGTGGGAGCAGAGCATTAGTGAGCATGCAGCTGATGCATGTGTTCATCACAGCTGGTAAAGGTGGAGCTCATTTAAATGACTTTGTGTACTGCTGCTGGATCTTTTAACCAATCATTCTGATATATACAGTCTGTTATATATCAATGTTTTTATTAGTTAATTTATATTTTGTATAAGCTCATACTCTGAATCAAATAACTACAGCTGTTAGATACATGTAGTGGAGTGAAAAGTACAAATATTGGCTTTATTGGAAGTATAGAGTAGCTTGCAATGAAAATAGCCTGCTAAAATACAAGTACCTCAGGACAGTATTTGAGGACATGCACTTGGCTTAGTTTGTGGCTCAGCTTGCAGGCAGATTCAATTAAGTTATATATTATTAGTATAAGGCAACATTTGTCCACTACAATGTTGATAAGAGTAAGACAAATATTCCTTTAATGTATACCTTAAATAAATGTGCTTGTTGTGTAGCCCTGAATTAGCAAAACAAATCAATTGATTAATGCCGACTTATTTTAACTTCATTTCTTGAGTGTCTGCAGTGAGTGCTCATGTATAAACCCCAGATGAATGTAGCATGTAGTTACACTGTGAGATTTACTCTTAAGAATATTGAAGTAAAAAGATATCAACAGCAATTATGTTTGACAGAAAGTGCTGAGATATACCAATGCCATGCTTCTCCATAAGTGTGATGAGTTCAGCCTCGGTCAAGTAGTCGGGGGGGCTGGTCTGTTTTTCCACCAGCTTGATCTCGTCTACCGTGAAAGTGTCACCGCGCTCACAGGCTGGCAGGGCCTCCTCCAGAGGGATGCCCTGCCACGGCATCACAGCGGTGTAACCTGGGAGGAGATTAGCATTACAACCACATGTTCAGAAATCCATCTCCAAGTTCATCTGCCACATTCCATCTTCCTTCTCAGTAACTACAAAACGGTTTAAACCAGTGATCAGATTTCACAATTTACACTTAAGTCAATCTTCACCAGTTAAGGCATGAATTGGTTGCTAACAGACATCTTGGGCCATGTCCAATCAAAACCAGTCAACTATGTAAACAGGAAGTCACTATAGCACAACCTCTTATGGGGAGATCAGAGTGTTTCAGTGTGATTGATAAGCAGTTTAAAATGAGAAGGAGAAACTTCACTCCAATCCTTTATTTACAATGTATGTAGCCAAACTTTGTCAATTAAAACTGAAAAAGAGGTGGCCCACACCCCAATGTTTGCAGTCAATGTTTGTATGTCAATCAACCACTTTAAGGTAACTTAAAGTGGACCTATCATGCTATATTATAATAATATAGTGTAGGACCATACCTATATAAGGCATATTTATACTTTTTTCTTTTCAAAATACCAAACAGATCATGCATTTTAGCCATGCCTCATTTCGCTCAATATGCACTTTTTTACCCCTGTTTTTGCAAGGGCAGATTCTGTGAGAACAGCACCACCTACTGGCCTGGCATATGTACTACAGCGTCTCCAGCGCTTTCGAACGGCAATGGCCGTGGCTGTCTCCTCCTGATTGGTGGAGTTGGCCCAATAGCCGTAGCGCCACCGTCCTGACGGTGTTCAAATCTGGATCAGTTTTTATCAGATCCGTTGCAGCCCCTTTTTTAGAGATTTGGGTATGGAGGAAAATAGAGAGGGTTGTGTTTTCTGACACTTGGTGAGTTCCCTGGAACACCGGGGACACATATTCATGTATAAAAGACGTACAAAAGTGCATTTTGCATGATAGGTCCCCTTTAAATTAACGTGTGTTTTATTTTTAATTTTGTTTTTTAAGATATATCTGTTGTAATTTATTGTCGTTTATTGTGATTTGTAGTAATGTGTTTTTATTACATGTACAGCACTTTGGCTCGACCAAAAATCGCTTTTAAATGTGCTTTATAAATAAAACCTGATTTGATTTGATTTTACCTGAATGTCACCTGTGACAAACTTTTAAAGACACCTAAGATCTGACTTCTACTACAAATGATTTCTGTTGTTTGGAGGCAGAAATGTGCACTCAAGAAACAAGCAATGAGCGAGCCACTGACTTCACCTGCTGAGATCAGAGTCTTGCCACTGCATGAGAAGGCCTCCGAGCCGATGGTAAAGTCGATGGTGGTCTGAAGGTACTTGCAGTCCTGACTGACAGTAGCGATGAAATGCCGTGTGATGTAATCGTACAGCCGCCAGCCATCACTTCCTGTGGAATAGCAGAAGAGACAGAACCTGGGTAAGAGTCTGAACATGGAGGGGTGTAAAAATATTAAGGTCAGGGGTCGTGTCTGATAATGCCTGAAGGACAAACAGTTAACAGTTCCAAACAGCAACACTTGAACACAGAGTGAAAAGCTTCCGGGGGGGAGGGGGGGGGGTCCAACACTGGCTGAAATAGGACTGCTGTGGCCATAACATTTAAAATATATATATATATATATATATATATATATATATATATATATTTAACATACATTTTACTTTCACAACTGACATACAAGGCTCACTCACCCAGCTCCCCTTCTGAGGCAGCACGCATGGGGGTGATGGGGGGGTGGTCTCCAACATCACTTCCTTTCCTGGGACGGTTCAATCCAGTTGAAAGCAGAGCCTTCACCTGACGGAGGTAAAAGGTTTTTGTAGAATGATACATGTATGCATGTCCACCTTTAGGCTTCGTATCCAGGGACCAGACTCAGGGACACTTTCCTCCCACAGGCCATAACACTGCGAAACGCCCGAGCTCTGCAAAGTGCCTCCATAAAGCATTCATCGGTTTGCTTCTTAAAATGTATTTATCTTAATAGTTATCACTACAATAAACAGTATTTTATTTCATTGTACAGCATTTAAAATTTGACATTCTGTTCTTGTTTATATCATATTATATTTACATGTATGTAGACTCCTGCATTTACTTGGTCACTTACAACATCCTCTGCACTATTTAAGCTTATTGTATTTATTTACATGTACAGTATATAGTAACTTCATCTGCATTTCTTGATCATTGGTCTCCCAACATCATCTATACTGTTATTCTCCTCTATTCTACTCTGTTTCTTCTTGCACTATTTGTATTTTATTTAAAAATGTGTTTTAATGTTATATATGTATTATGTTGCACTGTTGGAGGAGCTTGGGACTTTGCCCTACACTGTAGCTACTGAATCTTTTAACAGCCTATGAATACAAATACAAACAAGGTGTATGTGCACACACACACTGCTGTGGTTAGTTGAAGGTACGAGTCCTCACTGCTGCTCACCTCCTCCGCCCAGTATGGATTGCTGCTCTGCTGCTTCAGCGCGCCCTTCAGGTCAAAGTTCTCTGGGTAGTGGGTGGTCTCAGTGCGGGGGTAGCTGATGTAGCCCTGTATGTACAGACGTTCTGCTATCTGCATAGTATGCTGGGGACTCATGCCTGAGACATCAACAAGTATCACATTAGCTTCTCTTCTCCTCACACCACAGAGCTTTGCTTACTTCATCTCGCTGAGTGCCAGACTCCTTCAGAATGCTGGTTCACTTGTATCTTGCCATCAAGACAATTGTTTCTTATATTCAAAGTTTTAAAAACGATTTAAATATAACATTTTCCGGTAACACTTTATATTAAGGTACACAAATTAACCATCAACTAGTTGTTAATTAACATGCATATTAGCAGTATATTGGCTCTTTATTAGTCATTATAAAACACTTATTAATGCCTTATTCTGCATGACCATATTCTACAAGTAATAAGCCATTAGTTGAGAGTTTTTCCTCAATAACCCTCTAATTAGTGCTTATTTATTGTAAGTAAGGAAGTTGTTGTACATGAGTTTTGGTCTTAATAGGCTCAATATGGGCCTAATAAGGCAGTAGTACCACAAGAATAGTTATTCTCCCATAATAACACTTAACAAATATGATCTATTCTTATGTAACAAGACATGAAACTATAAGTGTTAATTGTGTCTAAATAACTAATTTAATAAGAATTAGGTATTTGCGTTTGAATGTCAGTGGACTGCAAATAAGTCAATAAAGGAGCATGGCTGCTCATTCCCTGGCTCTCAAAAGAGTTTGACTGGCTGTTTAATCTATGTTCACACTGAGACAGGACAACACATAGAGAGAACAGTACACCTATTGTGTAAGTATACAAGCAGGTCACACAGTATGATCACAAATACATAAACTCTGTTAAAAATCTGTTTCTATTAAAAAGTACAGGCTGCATATGTGTTCTCAGCCTTGGAGAAACTTGACATGTTTTGGGATGTGTCTGAACCTCTCTTTAGTGGTTCATTAATAAAACAGATATTTCAACGTGTGCCTACTTTGTTCATGTACTGTTGAGGTTAATTTCAGTAGTTGTGTGCTATAATGTATTTACAAAGTGTGAAGAGGAGGCAACTTTAGAATAGGGAACCTGTTCAGGTCAATTAGAGTCAAATTACTAGCTTATTGGTTATGAACAAGACTTCACTTTAAAATAGGGAACATGTTCTTAGATAGAAATATCCAATTAGAGTCAAACTACTAGCTTATTGGTTATGAACAAGACTTCACTTTAAAATAGGGATCATATTCTTAGATAGAAATACCCAATTAGAGTCAAACTACTAGCTTATTGGTTATGAACAAGACTTCACTTTAAAATAGGGATCATATTCTTAGATAGAAATACCCAATTAGAGTCAAACTACTAGCTTATTGGTTATGAACAAGACTTCACTTTAAAATAGGGATCATGTTCTTAGATATAAATACCTAATGTTGAGTTATTTAGACACAATTAACACTTATAGTTTCATGTCTTGTTGCATAAGAAGAGATCATATTTGTTAAGTGTTATTATGGGAGAATAACTATTCTTGTGGTACTACTGCCTTATTGGGCCCATATTGAGCATATTAAGACCAAAACTCATGTACAACAACTTCCTTACTTGCAATAAATAAGCACTAATTAGAGGGTTATTGAGGAAAAACTCTCAACTAATGGCTTATTACTTGTAGAATATGGTCATGTAGAATAAGGCATTAATAAGTGTTTTATAATGACTAATGAAGAGCCAATATACTGCTAATATGCATGTTAATTAACAACTAGTTGATGGTTAATTTGTGTACCTTAATATAAAGTGTTACCCATTTTCCTTATCCAAGAGTATGGCATATGTGAGTTCTTCATGTTCAAGTTCTGAGTTAATCCTCCCATTTGTCCATCAACTTTTATTGAAAATAAACCTAAAAGGGCATCTCCTATATTTCACGCGCAAGGATAACACCTAAATATTGAATACCCCATATGTTTAGTGATATTTAAAACACAATGATTTGTAAATAATAGTTTTCATGGGAGGATTAACTCAGTAAATCAGTTCTATAAGATTCAATAAGATACTGTATTTACCCGCCTAAAAGTAGTAGTATCATTTTATATTGGGTATATGAAAATGCAAATGCAGATCCAACTGTTCCGATTGCATTAAAAGGTTTAAAAAAGGAATTAAATGTTTTGCATATGGTGCAGTGATCTTTATAATATAACAATGTTACTAATATTACATTCAAGAATATTCTGCCTTGCTTACAGTTTTGTGTTGTAACGCATGTATCAAGATATGTATTGTGATCCCAAACTCTTGCAAATACAGAACCCTTCTACAGGTTTTGAATAGAAAGTCCTACTATTTTGAAGAAAGATTCATATTCTAAATTACTCATTAAAAAAGCAAAAAACAAACAAACAATAATTAGTCATCTTCCTCTGTGCAGTAGAGTTACATTTCTGTTGAAAAACGATTCCCACCAATGAGCATACCTAAGGAGGAGCTGGCCACTTTCAACATCTCCACTGTGTTCAGGGCCTGGGGCCTCTGCTTCGCCTTCTCCTTCTTACTCACAGACTCCACCTGGATGAAGAGGGGCATGACACAGCGCACGTCAGGGATCCACTAAATTCAGCTCCAACTCTGGCTGACCTCCAAGAATCCATAAAGGAAAATAATCAAACAGGTGTAGCACTGCAGATTATCTTGTGAAGTTGGGCCAGTTGAAGTTTCCCTGAAATGTGTTGATTTCCAATACAGGAACAATTCTACAATATACTATTAAAATGTCCTAATGCCAAGTTCACAATTACAGAGCCCCTAAAGGTTCAAGGGGAAAAAAAGTATCTTGTGTGCACGGTATACTTTCTCGTGCGCACAAGATACTTTCTTATGGTTAGACATATCGAACTGCCCAATTATTACGCCATATTATTAGTTGTATGAAGAAGATGTCAGGTCGCCAGGGCGTGTGTGTGCATTTGTTTTCAGAAGATATTATGATCGTGTCCTTCGTTCCGGTGCACTCCGACAGGACTAAGCAGTATCGAGATTAAGATTAAACAAACTTCTTTCACTTGGGAATACACATATACCTATGGAGTTAGCCAGATGTGTGTCAATTACTGTTCATGGTCATTTGAAAACAAATGCCTGTGTCGGACACACACATACACCGAACACACACACACACAGAGCGGAGCTGAGCAGAGCACGAACACACACACATCATGCGCCCTGGTGACCGGACATCTCCTTCATAAAACGAGTAATAGGGGGAATAATCGGGCAGTTCGATGTGTGTAGAGGTGTGTGTGTGTGTGTGTGTGTGTAGAGGTGTGTGTGTGTGTGTGTGTGTGTGTGTGTAGAGGTGTGTGTGGTTAAAACGTAGCAGCCTCGATCTCTATTCAGCTGTTCTAATGAAGGTAAACACAGTGAAGGCGCTGCGTAAAAGGCACAGCTCTCTGCGCGCAGATAGCAGATACTGTGAGAGTCACGGACATGAATTCATAGATCAAAGCAGACGGGTTTACAGACTCTCCTGTTTTGCAAATCCGGTGCTTAAACAAATAGCTCTAAACCCCTGGCCGAAATGTCCCTAAAATGAAGTCCGAGTTTGATATATATCTCAAATAATGTATGCTGCCATTTCCCCACATAAACATAACAGTCTGCAATGAAACGGTTGTCTCCTGTGTGCTCCACTTCCTACTCGGCGCACCGGTAACTTTCTCGTGCGCACGAGAAAGTATATCCTGCGCACAAGATACTTTTTTTCCTAGAACCTTTAGGGGCTCCGTACACAAACAACTTTCAGGTCTTTAAAATGCAATAGTGTTATGAATTCACATGGCTGAGCGGCACAGAGGGTCAAATTAAGATCTTTGAACAGGAAAACTCAAGGACACATACATTCCATACACAAAAGGTAGTAAATGATTGGGCTACAGAGAAACAGTTTTCCATTGATCCTATGGAGACTATAAAAGATGATACTGCATGCATCCAGCTTCTCAACGGCTTACATCATATTTTTACAAGACTTTAGATAAATAATTAACTTTCTCCTACCTGAGCCACCCGGGATGTCTTAGCCAGGTTGACGAACATCTGACCCACCTCCCTGTCGAAGACCCTGACCCTGCTCCAGTCCAATGTCAGAGGGCTGTCCTTTCCTTTGAACACCTGACAGAAACACAGCATGCCTGTCAGTATAGCGGAGGAGGATGAGACTGATGCCGCTGTGTAATGAGGGGAAATCTGAACTTTACCTTTGCCTGAATGACCCAGTAAGTCTCTGGTTTAAAAGACTGGATCTTATCATGGCGTTCCACGCAGAAGCCCAGTGTTGGGGTCTGGCATGGTCCAAATGAAATCAAGGTGGAGTCCAGATTGCCGTACTTACCCTGGAAATACTTTGTCTGGAACCTGAAAAATATTTAACCAACAAAGGACAGGCTTAGATTATATTTGATATTACCTTAGATCATAAACAAACTCTTGGAAGGAAATCTAAACCAACACTATGGATCAACCGAAATATCAGAATCTAAATCTGATTACATTTTTATTATCATTTCCTTTTAATCTGTTTTTAGACTACATAAAACTATAGTTTAGAACAGTGGTTCTCAACTGGTCAGGCCTCGGGACCCACTTTTTCCTTTGTCAATAAATCGCAACCCAAAATTTTTAACCACTCAAATATATTCAACAAGATATCGTGCTGTAATATATACGCTTTTCAGCATACAATATTAAAGTGAAGTACAGTGCATATAACCCTTCACAGAACTAAAGTATGCTTTTAAATAAGGTTTAATGAGATGATGGAATCAAAGCTGAACTGTATAACATCAAAAAGCACACATGCTGAAAACCCAACCCCCAGGAGATTTTTAGAAATACTAACATATAAACTACGCATTCTGGTACGCTCTGAGAAGAAAATAAATTAATCTATTACTACCCGACATATTAATAATATTTTATGCCATTGTTTGTTTTTCACTTTGTTCTGACAGCTTGCTGCTCCACACAGAGAGAAGAGCAAAGAGGAGATAGTCTGTGTGACTTACTTTAAATTGTGGGTAAGGGTAGATAGCCCCCATTGTTCTGTGACCTGTCAATCATCAAACCGGGGGTCATATTTCATTATGTGTTCATTTTTATCTGAAGTTGTACCCATGGATGTATAAAGAATACTTCTACCGCAAAGTTATTCTCCACTTCCGGCAACAATCTTGATTCTGATTGGCCAGAAGACTCGAAAAAACATCAGCAAAGATGTTTTATTGAGAAGATGATCACTACGTGACAAAATAAAAGATTTTATTTTTTTCTTCACTCACATCTGCGACCCACTCGAAACGGGTCCGCGACCCACCAGTTGAGAACCACTGGTTTAGATGTCATGTCATGTAGATTATGTTTTCCCATAATGGGATGGTAGGTAATTCTAGGAACAATTTGCTTTTATTTCTTTGATTATAAATAAAAACAAGGCATCAGAAGTGTTGGGGGTGACAGGCAGCAGTGAGATGTGTGTCTGGGCAGCAGTGAGATGTGTGTCTGGGCAGCAGTGAGATGTGTGTGTCTGGACAGCAGTGAGATGTGTGTGTCTGGACAGCAGTGAGATGTGTGTGTCTGGACAGCAGTGAGATGTGTGTGTCCTGACAGCAGTGTACCGGGTGAAGGCGCAGCCAATGCGCAGGTCCAGCTCCTGACGTGCGTCCACTGACAGGGCTTCATTGCGGTTGGGCTCTCCCAGGTGATCCATGGCATTCCAGATGTCAGTGTCCGTGATGGAGCTGAATTTGGCTCGGTAAACACTCTGCTCCCTAACTCTGTTCATCACTGGCTGGATGGCATCCAGTACCTGTAAGGCAAGAGAAACAGTGACAGAACAGTCAAAAGCTAAATAACCAACTATAGCATAGTTCAGTAACAGGCGGACCTATAATCAGGGGTGCACATAACTTGTACGCAGGTACGCATGCGTGGCAAAAATATGAAATGCGTAACGTTACTTTTGTCACTGCGCACCTTTGCGTACCTGATGGGTCATCAAAACAAAAGACATATTTCGTCTACACGTGTTTCTTGTAAACACTCAGTGGAGTAAACTATTTAATTAGACATGTCCAAAAAACTAAAATACATTAAGCAGCCACTTTGGCGTTTTGCTCCCTGTTAAAAATCTTCGGACGTTCTTGGACTGATTGAACTGGGTGCTGGCCGAGCCGCGCAGGCCATAACCGACGGACTGGTGAAGCCTTTACAGGAGGCAGGCTTAGATCATTGGATGACACAGTTGGTCGCCGTGTGCACAGACAGGGCTGCTTGTAACGTCGGTATGAACAACAGAATTGTACCAAAACTACGCCAACTGGCTGCGGAGGGAGACTGGAGAACTGCGTAAAATCTGCTGATCACAACGTCCTTAATGTGAGACTTTTAATCGATCTGTGGTCAAGCTGCTGCAGTTTTATTTACAACAAGGTGGCGCAAAACACACAGCTGCAATCTTACTCAGGGTGTTAAAGGAAGAGTTTGAAATCAGACAGAGGTGCAAGAAGTACTCAGCTCTTGTGTAGCAATACTCTGTTACAAGTAAAAGTCCTGCATGCACAACGTGACTCAAGTAAAAGTAGAAGTACTCAGATCTTGCACTTGAGTAAAAGTAGAAGTACCAGAGTGTAGGAATACTCTGTTGCAAGTAAAAGTCCTGCATTCAAAATGTTACTTAAAGGTGGGGTAAGTTTGAGAAACCGGCTCGAGATACACTTTTTGTTATATTCCATGGAATGCTCTTAACATCCCGATAGCAATGAATATCTGAAGTGCTTTGACAAAAAATCCATAAGAAAAAGTCATCTGTGGAAGCCGTAATACTGTAAAAAGTACGACCAATTATCTGAGCCGGCCCGGCTAAAATAACTGGATGGCCTACCTGCCTGTCAGCCTTCCATCTGTGCACAAACTTATCTCGTGCCCTCATTGGTCATGTGCGCGTTCGTGTGTGTTGGAGGAGGGGCTCTGTAAGGAAGTGGCAGATTTTCTCCGGCTGTGTATTTTCAAATTCTAGCGCACTTGAGCTGGTTTCTCCAAAATGACCTACCCCACCTTTAAGTAAAAGTGTTACCTCTGAACTGTAGTGGAGTAGAAGTACAAAGTAGCATAAAATAGAAATACTCAAGTAAAGTACAAGTATCTCAAAATTGTACCTAAGTACAGTACTTGAATAAGTGTACTTAGTTACTTCCCACATCTGAAATCAGATATGAATTCAAGTCATGTCATTTCTTAGTATTTGATCCTTCAATTTGGCCTCAGGAAATGCAAGGACTTTTTTTGGCAACAAGTTTGGAGAAAGCAAATGGGAGGCTTAAACGGGGACAGGGAGGAAGACTGCAGTATCTTCATCATCTACCATGCAAGAAGTGGAAATAGAGGACAGTGAAGGAGACACTGAGGAGGACAGTGAGGAAGACTGTTGCATATCCACAGTATGTTACTGTATATCTGTATAGTTCAATGTTAATTGACAATAAATATTGTTGTTTTTTGTTTTTTTTAAATTGTACTTTCTTTATTTGATTGGCAGTCAGTTGTTGATGACATGCAGACGTTGATAAAGCTGCAGGCTACTTCAATATATCACACTAATTCATAAAGCAACTTAGACATGTTGATGTTCCGGACCTTTGCATGGGGACATTTTCTCTAACTGGACCTCGTTGAATTTTAGTTGAATACCCCTGAACTATAAGAATCAATCAATCAAGATTATTAGAATGGGTTCAGATACTCTTCTAAGCTGCACTAAATCAAACCTGTGTCAAAAAAGAAGCAGCATCAGCGATGAATTGATTAAGTGGAACAGTCAGATTGTGACAATGCCGTGTGAAGCGTGAAGAGGTGGATCGCACAAATCACTTGAAATGGGGAGCGTAATGTATATTTCAAACTGTAGATTTAGTTGGAGTGAAAAGAATACTCAGTATTAAACAATATGATATATTCAGTTAGCAGTCAATATAAGTGTGATGTCAGCCCACTAACTGCATCAGATGTGGTCAAACTGAGCGATGAGGAATACGTGTTCCTGCATGTGAGGAAATTCTGATCATCTGCAGTGCAGTTTAACCCAATGAGAATACAAGTGCTACTTAAGTGCACTGAACAGCAACATGTCATCTCTTCCTTTTGACTAAGCAGACTCCTTTTCAGCAAAAGAAAATGAGCAGAACCCAAAAAGCAGCACTGACCTAGGATTAGGCATGTTGTGAACCATGCCGTCTGAACTATTTGTATATCGAGATTAAATAACAACGGCAGTACAACCAAAATAATGTTTTTAATACCTAGTGAAAAGAGCCAAGGATTGGATGTCCTTTTATACATAACATCTTCAGATAATGCTCGCATTAATAGCAGGTTTGAATTCGGCCCTGAATTACCTCAAAGCAGATGTTCTCCCCTTCTTTATCACAGTCCAACCATAGAACCACGTAGTCACAGCCTCTCGCTTCAACCTGACATGACACCAGAAATGTGGGGTAAGCACCACAAATATAATCCATGAAACACTGACATCCAGATGATTAATAAGAATGCTGTGAGCTCCAATGTCTTCTGAAAATCAATATCTGGGTCACTTACTTGGAGGAACTTGACCATGTTGAGTTTAGGGTTGGCCTCCTTCTTTTCTGTCGGAGCTTTGCTAAAGAGTTCTGCAGGGTCCACCTTGTCCCAGTTGTTGTACTTCCCTAAAAAAACAACAACAAAGCCTAAACTGTAAGAAAGGACAAGAAATGGGAGCTAAATAGGTTGAAACACGTAAAACGATACGATTAATACTTTATTGTCAGATCAAGTCTGACATTTTTCAGACATTTTACATATGTTACAGCAGCTCCATCCTCAAATATTAAGCGGGGGAAACAGACAATTAACACAACAATACAATCACTGAAGACAGTATGTTCAAGAGCTTCTAACGTACATTTATAAACTCTGTATTTCATTTGAGGATTGACTGGTGCACAAAGGAGTGCTTCAGTCTAACCCTATTCAATTGTGGGATCTGTATCTCCAATTTGATGGTAACAATTCATATTTACTGTTAAATGGTGTTTTTAGTTATTACTTTTAGAAAGGTGTAATGGTACATTCAATTAAGAATGTTCATGTTTAAGATGTTGATCAGGTCATGATTAGGGATGTACTGATAACGTTTTTCCTTTTCTGACACAGATTCAGAAAACTGAACTCTTAAAAACATGTTATTACATTATTAAGCACTGCAAGGAAATGTCATCAGTGAAGGTTGGGTGGGTTAGGGTGAGCAGGAGATGATACCCACCGATGAAATCCAGACTCATCACATGTCCACACACAGAAGTCATCTTAAAGCGTACACTTTGGCCCTGGAAGCTGCCGGGGTATTCGTGCACTGAGCATGCTCCGTTGAGACCCTTGCGACTTGTACAATTTCCTTAAGGCCAAGGATAAAAGATAATGTAATTAGTCAAAAGTCTTTTAAAAAAGGTGCAGGTTTTATAGGCCCATGAAAAAAACATTTAAATGCCCACCTAACTACATAAAAATGCAAAGGCTTACACATAAATGATCAATTGCAGAGGTAATTAATATGGTTGAAACTCTGAAAAGATCCAAACCAACACAAGTATTGTGTGTACCAAAGCCTAATGTGTTCCAATGTATTTGTCCAAAAACTATTAAAAACCAGATGTTAGAGGGAATTAATGAGCCTGTTATTGAAAACATATAGTTAAAACATATAGCCTTCTACTAAAGATGTAGTTCTTCAGTAGAACCCAATAGCCGCTTTCACACCAAGTACTTTGCCGTACTTAGTTCCCAGCACTTAGTACACCCATGGAACTAAGAGCCGATCGCGTTCACACCGGAATAAGTTCCCGGAAGATTACGCAAATGAAGCCGCTGACGTCACTTCGTCTTCTTCTGCTTTGGGTTTACTGGCAGGCCGCAAACAACTTCACGGCGTATACTGCCACCCGAAGTCCCCGGCCGGAAGTCCCCGGAGTTGGGGACTGGCTTCAGTCGAAGCTGCTGGGACTCCCAGCAGCTTCTACTGAAGCCCTCCGAGTAAATCGCCAGAACGCCGACACCTGTTTTTTTTTTTGCCATAAGTTATTCTCTCTCCGTTGGTGCGCGGGCTAATGCTAATGCTAATAATGCTAATGCCAGCAAATACAATGGCGGCTTCAAAAAACTTTTCAGAGTTTTACGGGGCGTGGTTTGCACTTCGCCCAGCCAATCAGAAATTGGTACTTTTTCTCCCCAGGATAGTCCCACCTCTCTAGCAGGCACTAAAAATGGGGGTAAAAGTTCTCTGAACTAAGTTCTCTTTTTGGTGTGAACGCAAAATTCCAGGCACTAACGGAACTAAACGGGAAAAGTACGGGTAAAAGTACTCCGGTGGGGATGGGCACATCAAAGACAGGGTTAGGAAGACAAAAAGTCTTAAGAGTTGGACCAACACTTAGAAACTCTCTTTTCATAGGATTTGGAGAATATATAAATATTCCCATGTGTGAATCAGGCCTGAAGGAAATTCTGGGATTAAAGCTTTAACAAAGTGTAAACTTCATGAAATGTAACCTTTTTCTAAATGTAATAGAAATGTTGTAAATCTTTTGGAAGAGAAACAAAAGCCATTTGGGGCTATTTGTGATTTCTACTGGTAAGAAGTCTTTGACCACGTTTACACGGAGACGAAAACGAACCTTAGTCGATATCAAAAAAGTCTTCCGTGCACACGGAATCGGCTCAAGAAACGTGTCCGTCCAGATGAGACCGCTCGACCCGCTGGATGCCCGCTTGTTGCTGATGGTTGTGGTAGAGGAGCTGTATATTTTTGCACTAACATCTGTAGCATGGTCAGTAGCGTCTGGAGCACGAAAGCAACCCTGTGATCCGCCATTGTTGTTGTTGTTGTTGGCGAAACACGCGGGTGACGCCGGGGTGAGCAGCAGAGGTGGGGAGAGGTGGGGCTATGGCGTCATCGTTATCAGGAAATGATCGTATAGGACGTACACATGGAGCCGTTTGGCCCCCCAGAGCGTTTCGTCCGCAGATCTACCCACCTTGGGACCCGTTACCGCTTGAGGGCTCAGTTTCCGCGGTTCCGTTACGGCCTCGTGTGGACGAACCGTCCATACAATAGAGAACTGTAGCGGATACAACACTTTTCGTCACCGTGTAAACGTGGCCTTTGTATGCTAGGGTTTTGTGTATTGCCCTATAGATCATGTTGTATGACCTGTAAGTGTTCTATTGTTGTCTTTTAATGGAACTTTTAGTTCCGCAGGGTAGTTTTTTATTACAAAAATAATATATTATTTTAGTGAGAACAGTGGACACGGACTCTTTGAGACAGACTGACTTCTGGTGTGTACTGCTCAATGTCCGTCAATCTGCAAGAAGCAAAGGGCAAAGTCAAGCCAGGGAGAACATTATGAGACCGTACCAAACATTTTAGGCTTGCTTTGTAGCATTTATTTTCTTTAGCTATTTATTGTACAACTATTTTTATATCACACAAATAAATGTCACAAGGACAGATACTGGAAAACATTCCTGCCCACTGCAATAACACTGTACAATAAATCACCTCTGGCTGGAAGAGAACTCTCTGCTCCATAGTTTCTCTAGAAATTAAACCATGTGGGACATTTTACTCATACATAATCTGTTCAATATTTATACTCCATATTCCATAATGTCATATATTTTGAATATATATATATATTTGTATATATAATATCTGCATGTATATTTTCTATTTCAACATGTATATTTTATTTTTCTTTCTATTCTTGTATATTTTGTAGTTTTGTTTTATTGTAAAATGCCTTTTATGCTGCTGTAACAACAACTTCCCCCCAATTTGGGATCAATAAAGTACTATCTATCTATCTATCTCTATAACGTGTTATTTATTTAATCACTATACTCAATGAAAACATCCTCCCCTCTGTCATGAACCTTGGAGTGACCTTCACTAGCACTTTTAAATTCGACAAGCAGGTCAGCACTGTAGTCAAATCCTGCTTTTTTTAAATACGACTATTGGCCAAAACCAAGTCGTATTTATCTTTTAATGACTTAGAAAGGGTTATTAACGCCTTTGTAACCTCGAGACTGGACTATTGCAACGCTCTGTATGTGGGTATGGACCAGGCCTCTATTAAACGCCTGCAGCTAGTCCAAAACGCAGCTGCACGTTTGCTGACTGGCCACAAAAAGCGTGACCACATCACCCCAATTCTGGCCTCAGGTTAGGGTTAGGGTTCCAAATTGATTTTAAAATCCTTTTATTTGTTTTCAAAGCCCTAAATGGGCTGGCTCCGGCCTATATAGCCGAACTCCTCTATTGCTACACCCCAGCCAGAGCCTTAAGGTCTGCTGACCAGCTGCTGCTGGTAGTGCCCAAGACCAGGCTCAAAACCCGAGGGCACCGAGCCTTCGCAGCAGCTGGCCCTAGGCTCTGGAACACTCTGCCCCTCCAATGTGCGGCTTTCACACCAGCGCTTTTCCCTTTCTAGCTCCTAGCTAGAGCTTTTCTGGTTCAGCTCCGGTTTCCCTTTTCAGCTCCCGCTCTGTTCACACCGCCCAGCTGCCGCTGCTGCGTCATGACGTCACCGTTTACATCGCTGATTTTCTCCCCAACGGAGCTCACAACAACAACAACGGGGGGGGACTGCGTTGGGTCGATGATCGTGTTGCTTTTAATCATACGAAGCCAGATTAAATAAAATAACGACTTCTCCAACCTTATACTTTTCTCCAGAGTGCCGTGGTTCATTGTTTATTAATGTGTTTCAGCGGCATTTACCGACCGCTGCAGCGCTGACTGGCTGCTCTTCCACGGGAGTGTATTCTCCCGTTAGCTCCGGGTTAGCTCACACGGCTCTAAAGTATTCACTGTCTGACTGTCACACAAGCAGCTGATACATATCCCCAGTTCCCTTTAAGTGAATGTGTGTCAGTCTGAATTGACGCTGTTTGGCATCACAACGCTGTTATGAAAGTTTCTCTGGTATAACATGGGTGATGTTAGCATAGCAACCGAAGCTAAACTGACTACTTGCTAAGCCGTTTTCTACAGGCACTTTTTACCGGCGTATTTTTCATTATGATTCTACTTCTGATAGTCGGACATGACAACCTGGGCAGCCCATGTATTGATTCCATCCGATAGCTGCTATAATAACAAACAAAACGTCTGCCTGCTCTCCACAATGATCAATAACAGCGAACGGATGGTCAAAGTAAGGTACAAATAAACAGAATCACACGAAGCCTGGTTAGTGTTGCCTGACTTTATAAAGCGTGTTTTTTTGTATAAGTGTGTGGTTGCCTTCTAGTCACTTTGCTCAGCGCTACTGCTTGTAGGCAGGCATGACGAGACTCTTCAGTCGACCCATGTTCAGGGGAGGTGGGTTTAGTTTCCTGCACGCCTCGACGTAAGAGAGACGTAAGCAACGCCGCGTCATAGCTCCGAAGCTCTTGCCTCTAGACCGACAATTTTTTGGAGGTGGAAGTGAACCGCATTCCGGAGCTATGACGCTCTTTAAATCCTCACTAAAGACTCACTTCTTCTCTCTGGCCTTCTAGTCAGAGCGGAGTATGACACCTGTTTTTTATATTTCTGTTGTAAATTATTGTCTTTTATTGTGATTGTAGTAATGTGTTTTTATTAAATGTACAGCATTTTGGCTCAACCAAAAATCGCTTTTAAATGTGCTTTATAAATAAAACTTGATTTGATACTATATAAAACTTAAGTTATAAAATAATAGCAACCTTATATTTTATAATATGCAGATATAATAAGGAAGTATCGTGAGATTAAAGTACATCATTTTGAAGATATTCAATAAATAAAAATGAATTAGAAAACACAACTTTTGCAATGCGCTTCAAAATGTACACTTTATTTACTTTTTTTGTTTTTATTCTAAAACTCGGGGCTCTGATGAGTCAGACTTTTACAGGAGGTCAGAACATGGCAGGAACAGGAGTGCATATTCCATTAATTGAGGGGGAAGTCATCCCTTAGTTACCATGCACATGACGTCTTCTCTGAATACAATTATTCTTTCAAGGTTGACTGCTAATGAAGGAACATGGACGCAAACTATTCGGATGGGAATGCTACAATGAGGGCAAATAAATAGAGGCAGGTCCAGAGACAGGTCGCAGATCTACTCCAACAGACACCAAGGGAAACAACATAAGACCTACAGCACCCAGGAGCAGCCCATCTCAAGCGACAAACTTCAGCCATGGAACAGCTCCAGGTAAGAAAGTTGCCTTCATGTTAATGGTGATGATGACGGACATTTTTGACAGCTTCCATGTTGGGTTATACCTTAAAAGTAGAATAGTTTTGGTCTTAACGTGAACGTTTAAATAATAAGCCACAAGAGGCCATCCTTTACACTA